TTCTTCTGATCTCAACAATAGTGATGATGATAGTGATAGTGATAAGGATGTTAATAAAGATGTTGGTATAGACCGTGGTTTACTTCTAAACTGTATACAATCCGGATCAAAACACTTCTGTACCCATATCTGTTCTTGTACATCTATTGTAATATAAATATGATTTGATCGATGTTCACGATTTATATTTTCACAATATTTAGATCCTTCTATTAAAAATAATATATATCGTCCACCATTATATTCTCGTATACGATTTACTTGACAATGTATACTATTACTTACTTTATTCCACTCTTGTATAATATATTGTATAAGAGAAGTATACTTGGTAGATTCTTTATCATTTAAAAGGCGAATAGATGTAGAAGAAGAAGAAGAGGGTTCACATATAGTTTCATACTCTGTTTCTTCATTAGTAGATGTTGTTAGAATAACACCTGAACGAATACCACTACTAATATTATTATTATTATTATTATTATTATTATTATTATTATTATTATTACTATCACCATTAATATTAATATTATTAACTGGAATATGGATAAGTCTGCGATGACCCTGTTGTAGACTCACAAGTGAAGAAAAGAAATGAACCAACTTTTCTCTTTCCTTATTATTATTAGTACTATTACTACTACTATTATTATTATTAATAGTATTAGTATTATTATTATTATTGGAAGAAGAAGAAGTGGGAAATGCGATTTCCCACTCAAGTATACTCTTCTTATGTAGTTTACAACTACCAAAACAACGCAGCATCCGATTTCGACTATACACAGCAGTATCAATTACACAACGAAGTGGTAAAAACGGTAAACAACATAAAGAAGAAGATGAAGTTAATGTAGATAATGATATTGATGTAGATAATGAAGATAATGTTGTTTGACTGGGTGGGAGAACAGGAAATTCCTTTGGTGGATCATGATAGAAAAGGGCGGTATGTATATGTGGAGATCGCATGGCTTGTTCATATAAATAATCCACAAAGTGATTTACTACACGTCCAACGTGGGCATTACTGCGAAACCATCGTTTATTAAACTTAATGACATAATGTTGAGAGAATTTCTCATTATTATTATTATTATTATTATTATTATTATTATTACTATTATTATTAATATTATTATTCATATGAGATGGATTTTTAGAACAAAGGACAATCACCTCTACATCATTTCCTAATCCCATATCACTTGTTATTATCGTTTCATCTTCTCCTTTATCCGTATTCTTATTATTATTATTATTATTATTATTATTATCGTTAGAAGAAAAGAACTCTGGATAGTTTGTATAAAGAAACAAACGTAGTTCTGTTAATAAGATATCCCGTGTATGTTGATTATCTGCACGTAAAGGACAATTCCATGGACAACATCTTAATGGACGCCATTTGGCCGTTTCCAGAGCTTTTGTATATTCCGCAGAAATATTACAATACATATCTTCTTTTTCTTTTTCTTTATTATTATTATTATTATTATTATCTTTATTATTAATATTATTATTATCACTATCAGTGTTATTATTATTATTATTATTATTATTATTATTATTATTATTATTATTATTATCACTATCATTATCACTATCATTATTAAGAGAAGAAGAAGAACTACTACTACTAGGAATATCCGTTATATCGACAACAGGATGCCAAGCGGAGTAATCCTTTTCCCGTTCCACATCCAAATAAAAATGACAAGGTCTACCATCCCGAATAATTTCATATAAATGTAATTGTGAAGATTCTATGGATTTAATTATTTCCACAAGACCTAAACGAGTTGTGGCGAGAAACATACGTGTTTGCATAGAGAGAGATGTGGCTCCATATAATAAAGCGTAATCTTCTCGTACAGCTCGCCCGTGTCGTTGAATCTCACTTCTTACTTGTATATCTTTTTTTTCTTCTTCTTTTTCTTTTTCTGATAGTGATAGTGATAGTGGTCGTTTGCGAAATAACAATCTAGTAGAAGTACGCTGTGGATAATTCCTATTATTATTATTATTATTATTATTATTATTATTATTATTATTATTATTATTATTATTATCACTATTCATATTAGTATTAGTAGTATTAATATTAGTAGTAGAAGCACGTAGAGATCGTGAGGATAATTCCCGTACGACTTCTTCCTCTGATGGAAACTCTATACCAAACGGTAACCATTTGTTTAGATACGATTCCTCTTCTTCTTCTTTTATTTCTTTTGTTTCTTTATTCGCAATATCAATATAATCAAATAGTTGTTGTTGTGTAGGGAATAGTCGGCAATTTTCTTTACTAAAGTGGGTGATAAAGGTGGACTTACACCAAAGCATCTAATCTATTTATCTCTCTCTATATATGTATATATATATATATATATTTACAATTATTCATACAGCATATCTTTAACTTGAAAAATAAAAAGAATAAATAAAAAAAGAAGAAAGATATCAAAATAATAATAATAATAATAACAATAAAACCATGTACTTACGCAAGAAATAAGAGAAACTCTAAAAGTAAAGAAAAAAAGTATTCCTTCTCTTTCTCTTACATATATATATATATATAGAATAGCAAAATACCAACAATAATAAAGGGAACGAACAAACAGAAAGAGAAAAAGAAAGAAAGAAAGAAA